AATAGCCGGTTGAAGTCGGCTACCTGGTCTTGCTTTACAATAATGCCTTCATTTTCCAGCAACGTCTGCATTTCAGTACCCGTACCGAAATGATGTTTGCCGGTAAGCAGGCCCTTACTGTTCAGCACGCGGTGGGCAGGTATGGGCGGACTGGCCGTCGCGCAATGGTTCATGGCATAACCCACCATTCTTGCACCGCTTTTCATGCCGATGGCTGCTGCGATCGCTCCATAACTTGTTACCCTGCCTGCCGGTATCAGACGTACGATCTGGTAAATGGCTTCATAAAGGTCTTTATGCTGGTTATTGATCATGTTGTTCACGATTTTCGAGCAAATTACTTCTGCGCGGCTCCGGTACATTCTCATAATCATAAGGACAATTGAGGCAGCCATTGCCACAGCAGTAACCCCGTTTCAGCAGGTAACCGGCTGTGAATACAAGCCGCCCGTCAGGCAGTATATAGTAATCTTCCTGCTCAATCATCATTATCCGCTATTTCATCATCTTCTTCCTCTTTCTTTTTAGCGGGTGGTATGATCACCGTATCTGGTAGCGTAAAAGACAGATAATAAATGATTCTGCCTTCGGCGAGGTGCATTCCTTCATAAAATGTCTGGATCGCCAAAGGACCGGTTGCTTTTTTTCGTCCATATATATCGTCGATGTTATCACGTATGGTACAGCCGGTCTCGGCAATGCTTTCCAGGGTAAAATCGTAAAGTTCTTTGGAATCTGTTTTCAGGTTGATGACAGCCCCCGGTTTCAGTACTTTCTGGTAGATGCTCAGGAAGCGTGCATGGGTCAGGCGATTTTTCGCCTTTGACGCACGGAGAAAGGGATCGGGAAAGATGATCCAGATTTCGCCGACCTCGCCCGCTGTAAAGTATTGGGTAAGCTGCAGGATCTGTGTGCGCAGAAAAGCAACATTACCCAGTCCTTCCCGGAGTGCCTTACGGGCGCCAATGAAAATGCGGTTGCCTTTCACATCTACCCCGATGAAATTACGCTCCGGATGCATGGCGCCCAGGCCGGTACTGTATTCACCTTTGCCGCAGGCGAGCTCTAAAGTGATCGGGTTGTTGTTGCCGAAATATTCGTTCCATTTTCCGCTCATTCCTTCCGGATACTGGAAAACATTGGTGAACGTGTTGATTGCGTTAAATCTGATAAGTTTTTGTTGACCCATAATAAGAGCACAAAGCTAAACAAGTATCTTACTCAAAACATTTGGTATTTTTTTCGCTTGTCGATTGCATTAAATATTCCTATTTGTTGTTGATACCCAGTTGTAATACAAAACTAAACAAGTATCTTGCTTAAAATTTGACACTTTTTTTACTTAAAAAATCAATTAAAAAGTTATGAAGAAAAAATACCTTCTTTTTGCTGCTTTTGCCGGCATAGTATCGTTAACATTGTCCAGCTATAGCAGCGGGCCAATCTCCGGCGGTCTTGGTAACCGGAGTGGCAGTGCCAGCTCACAGGCTAACTGCACC